CACGCTTGGGCTTCTGCATTCTTTCAGTTTGCCTTCATTCTTGAGTGAGTTCTTATTAACTTGTAGTTCTGCGAAGAATAAGTAATTTAATACTAACTGGGATGTACCATTCATAGAGTAGATCTGAGCAAGTTCAACTCAAGAACACCTAAACCTGTAATAGCAATCAATCAGCTATTTAAATGCTTCAAGAAGAAAGTCAGACTTCAACTAGTTAAACTTCTGTAGACACAGATTTCCTGGAGTTTAAAGGAAGCATTTTCCTTAATCTCCAGTTACAGATTTACATATGAGCTAGTGTTTTCAAAACTCCAGTCTTATATCAGCTATTTTGCTGATATTCAAACAAAGATTCTCACCAAGAGAATTTTGCCAATATTCAAAGATTTATTTTCTACATTTTGTCAGGAATTAGTATTTTTGACATGACGCCAGTAAAAGGCTAGGTGTCAAAAATGAATTTAAGACTGGATTACAGTAAACGCAGTGTCAAAAACCGCTATGCATAAAGCTGTGAGCGAAGGACAATTTAACAGAAACGAAAAGGAGTTAAAAAGAAATGGCTGGAAAACTATGTTGATTTTACCCTGCCACCTGAACTACTCTAGCAGCATTACTGTACAGTTTGCACTCAAACAACATGGGGACTGATCTTGCAGCATGTTTCAACTGGCATCATTTCAATGAACAGAACGGCTCTTGACTTGAAAGAGAATAATATTGATTTTCACTGCTCTACTACCTCTGAATCATTCAAATATGCCCTACCTGCAACAGAAAAATACACACTGATATTCAGGCAGTTTTTTCCTTCATGTGAATTTTCAGGGAAGGTTTTGGATGCAATTAGCTAAAATGAAGTCATAAAATCTGAACAGATAAGAAGGAATTTCTGTGGAAAGGACAGTCTTGTTAGGCAAAAGATGTCCGCAATGGAAGTAATTTACAGCAGTAAACACTGCAAAGTGGCCAATGACCTCTTTTACTAAACAGTTATAATTTTCTGTAAGTCATGAGAACAGAGTATTAACTATATCTGTAACTTAACCTCTTTTGGGACCAATAAAACAGTCTGTTCTGATGAAGCTCTTAAAACCCATTCAGTATGTAATGAAAAGCATCTGGAAGGCTAGCTTTCACTGACACTGTTGAAACTTCAACTGTTTAAACATGGTTTATCAGTTATGAAGATTATCAGAAAAATACAGCACAAACTAACATGCCCATCAGGAATAGAAAGCCAATTTACAGCGAGAAGGTGTACAGGGCTCAGGAACTTGGTCACAGTATGGAGAGGCTGCATGGGGCCAGACAAAGGTATCTGGTTTAGGATGAGGATGAGGAAGATGAGAAGATACAAACAGTTGGAGAGGAGACTCTGTTCTTGAGAGAGAAGATGAGGAAGTATCAGAGGCTAAAAAGCGAAACAAAGAGAATGGTGAGGGTGTGGGGGGGTGGGAAAGAAAAAAGATCCAACAGGGTTTAATGGACTCATGGATGCCAAAAAATGCAAAGCATTTATTTCACCATTCAGTAAGATGGAAATGGCTTCTACATAAAGTAAATATAATTTCTTCTGAAAGCAACATTAAAAAAAAAAACCACCCTGTACTCATATGTACTCTCCTTCCATACTAAACTACATTAGGGGGAAAAAAAAATCAAAGATTTTTGCACTATGTTCTAATGCATAAATTTGTAAAATATATTTAAGGGGAAATAAAGATCAAAGTTTAAAACTCGGCTACTATTATTTCTTCCTATAATAAACTCAGTGGACTACAGCCAATACACAACAAATCAAATAATCTGTTTTTAAAAAGATTGAGTACAATTTACCTTAACCAAAACAGCCAACTGAATCTCAAGTGATTTGCCTATGCATATCTATCTTTGGATATGAAACATGCCTGCCTGCCTGCTTGTGAAATTTTACTTCAGCGATCGATTCATCAAAACTTTTTTTTTCCCCTCCATATTTATTTCGTTCATCAATACATAAAAATACAGGTGCATGACACTCATGGCAAACTAGTTGAAATAGAAGGCAAACTTGAAGTACATTTGCCACAGTTATTGATTAGGGCACTAGAATTGACAGTCTAGGCTTGTAGGAAATCCACAATATGCTCTTTCTACACTTCATATATTGGAAATATAGTCCAACATATTGGAAATCCACAATATGCTCTTTCTACACTTCAAAGGTTACACAAATTTAAACTTGAATCATTTAATCATTTCTGATTATGGGATTGGTAAGAGCTCTATATAGAACTGGTTTTTAAGACTCTTTTTTTTTTTCAACTTCTGATTAATCTAAGAAAAAGAATGTTTTAAACCATTACAGTTAGATGTTTTTCTTTTTTTTCTTTTTTTCTTTTTTTTTTTTTTTTTAAGATTTTAACCAACAAATTGCAAGTACGTAAGACTTCACATTTGAATTTTAGCTCTCGTTTCTTAGTACTCACATTGGCCAAACTCAGTCTAGACAGGCAAAGGAGATCATCATCATAGCTGGCAAGCAAAATTAGGAGAGGGGAAACTTTTAAATCTTCATGTGCATACACACACATGAATGCATACACATGGTAGCATTATACCGCATAAAGAGGAGGGAAGCAAACACTTCTGTCCTAAGAGCATTTTCCACAATACCTTTCCTGCATACTCCTATTTTAATATTTGCTTATTTATTTAAATGTCAAATTCCCTCTGCGTTTCTAACACTGGGGATCCACAGAATTTGCACGAGCTCTTTCAGCCTATAAAGGTCTAATATCTCGACCATCTATTGTTTCAACCATCTACCTTTTGTGAACAATGTTTTTTTGACAGTCTGCTTAAAGTTTTCTCACTCAAACACTTTGACAAACTTGACTTCTTTAATTTTTATAGTACCATGAAACTTTAATTTCTGCAATTTTTTAATATAATTTTCTGGCTGAAGAATTTTGGACAAAACTTGGATATGGAGCTTTTATACGTATACTGGATAGATACAGTAGTAACAAAGCTCTAGTACTTACCAGAATTTGTGAATTGGTATTGTTAACAAGGTTTCATCTGCTAAAATTAGCAATTAAAAAAAAAACAAACCAAAAACCAACCCTAATCTCCGCCCCCCACCAAAAAAAGGAAAAAAAAAAAAACCAACAGAAAAAATAAGAGGTCCCTCCAATCCATCCTCCACAATTACCTTTTATAAAAAAAATAGTCAAAAAGGGATCCTATATTTTTAATTTCCCATCTTGTCCTCCTTGACAGTAGAGATAAGCTCTAACAACACAGCTGAGATTCAGAAAAAAAGCCAAATTGGAACTTCTAGAAAAATCAGGACATATGTATAGATCCTGTTTTCCAATCAAGATATTGGCTGCAGGATTTGAATCTGGGGCAAGCTTCCTGAAAAGCTCACTGTTTTGGAGGGCTCATCTTTACTTAAAAGCATTGAAAATAGGCAGTCTTTAAAAAGCATCAATTCATTATGCCTTGAAGTGTGGCAGATATAAAATAGGACACCCCGAAGGTGTAGATGAAGATCTTCGTGTCCCCATAGGGGAAAAATAAGCAAAACCCCACAGCTAACCACAAAAAACCTCCCACAGCACACCCCCTGCACCAAGCACTTTTTTGAAGGCATAAAATAAATTATCTGTCTATTTATATATGTACATGAAGTCTTTAAAATCTAGTTATATCCTTATAATGAAACAATGAGCTAGAGTTATACAGACTTATATCTTATACATTTTAATTATTCAAATACAAGACGACAGAAAATTCCACATTAGGAGCAGTAAGCTAAATTATGTCATAGTTCAGACCATATTATATTGCAATTCTTTGAAATCAAGTGACTTGATCTTTATAATCAAAACTGTTTGCCACTATAGCAAGCACAGAACACTTTTTGTTTACTTACATGATTTCAAAATTGAGTGAACATTTGATCCAACTTTAATTTTCAAAAGTTAAGTGTCTAAATTGGATTTTTCTCTACTGCATAATTCTGATATTTAACAAAGACATACGTTACACATTTCAATGTATCTTAATTTATGGGTCAGTGTATTCTATTTCATAGGCTGGCAAACTTTCCCATAAGTCGTTTGTGTCAAAGTGTGATGAAGTAAAAATTCACATCTGAAAGGTGTCAGGAAAAGCATGCAATAGATTTGAGATAAAAACCCAGGAAACAGAAAACTCTCCATATCTAAAATGCATGCAACATACTGTAAAGGATTTTGGAACTAGCATCATCATGGTAATTCCTTCTGCGATTTTCACAGAATGTTTGGCTCACATGCTTTTTAGTTATATGACTTTTAAGGCATATCAATTTGCATTGTGATAACTGGATATATTAAAATACGCAAATTACATATTGTTAATATATACTGACATGTAGCAACCTCAGCTTTTATGTAGTGCATCTGTGCATCACAGTTTTTGATATGTATATCAAAATATCACAGTATATATGATTTGTAATAAAAAAATTTACTTATAATGGCAAAGCTATGTCTACAGTAAGTCAATCCATCCACGTAATTATATTTCAATATAATATATATATATTAGACATTTTAATGAATTTAATTAGCAATGATGTCTTTGGGTTTTTCGAGATTAAAAGTTTTCCAAAAATTTTCTGATTTACCTTTTAAAAAGAAAATCTGTGCAAATATTAAATAGACAAAAAAGCATAGGACTTTGGCAAATAGGCTAGTTCAGCGTACTGATTTTTAGCCCTTGCATAAGAAAATACAATTAAGCTCTGCAAAATCCATCCTACAGATACTTTAATTTACAGAGAACATGGTCAGCAAGTACTTCATAAATAAAATAATTTTTAAAATCTTGTATCACACAATGTCTATTTCCACCTACAATGAAAATATGACTTCATTTTGCAAAATAAAAAAACCCCACCTAATGCAAAATCTAGCTATGGTCCAATCATTTTACATATTTTATTGTTCAAATGCAGTTCTTACCTGTTTCAGGATCACTGAAATCTGGTAACGTAATTGTATTAAGCTGTCGTCTATCAGCAATAGCTCTGTCTAACAGGCTGCTCCCACGTCCAGAATCACTGTAATGAAGTATAGAAATTGTAAGCTATTAAAATATAAAATTATATACTGAGATACAAGTTGCATGCTGCCCTCCTCCCACAAAGGTTCTTGCTATAAAAGTTCTTGCTGTGAACAAATTTAGTACCAAGCAGTACTAACCACTCACAGTGCATTAAGCCAGCTGCATTAAAACAGAATTTAGCTGAGCAAAACTAAATCCACACTTATTTCAGCAATTCTGTTTTCATCATTAACACAACCATGAAGACAACACAAGTTTCTAGTTTGATTTACAGAAAGGATTTATTGTACCTTAAACTTTTATATAATATGAGGTATAGCTCTCATAGGAAGCTGAGATGGCAGATGTAAGTTTCAAAACCCACACTTTTCCCAGACTGAAGAGAAATACTAAAATCAGGACTCTAATTTTAGGTAAAGATGTTATAAAGATGCCATAACTACATTTCACATAAAAAGGCATCACTTCAATCTCTAGAGTTTTGGGGTTTTTTCTTGGCTTTTTTTTTTTTTTAAGGATACACACACACCCCCCTATTAACTATCTAATGTTGAATTTGATCCTAAGCGCACAGTAGGAATATTTTGAACACTTCCAACACCTCAGGAGCCTGGGCAGTAGCAGTGGTTTTCACTGGTTGCTCCTGTGGACAAATGCACTTAATTTCTACTTCAGTTGTCACTCAGCATCTGTCCCTCAGGCTTCTTGTTGACATACTTGCTGGAAGACTAATTGCTCCTGGAACTACTATTAAAGATTCAGCAGAAGAACAGGGACTGAAGAACTAAGGGCTCCTTCTGAAGATGAGGTGAATATTGAGAAACACTGACAGAAAAGTGCGAGGAAGCACATATGGGCACTCCTTCTTTAACATTATATGGTTAATACAGTAGTTTCATTTTTAAGATTTTAAGTCTAGCACTATTCACTATCAATTAGGGAATTAAAATAACTAATAACCCCACAAACTTAAAAATAATTAAGCTTTAGAGCAATTGGGCTCTTAGCCCAACTTGGCAGAGTGCAAACTTTTGTGTGATTTTCACTAAAGAAAAGTAAAGCTTAAAGTAAAGCCTGAAATACTTTAATCTGAACTGCAAGACTGGAATTCTGTACATCTTTCCATTTGCCTTAATTTTAAAATCCTCTCCTTCTGAATTTCAACTGAGAGAAGAGCAAGAAGCCTTTCAGCAACTCTTTGTAGTTGCACACTTCAAAACCCAGTGAAACAACTTCCTTTCTTTGTACAGTTGTTACTAAAATGGTATAAATTACATTTTGCATTACCCTAACATTATTGCAGGACTGATTTCCTTACAAAATGATGCCATTATAGAAATCCACAGGAAACAGAAGGGAACTTTCTGGGACACACACTATCAGCTATAGTTGTTACATCAGTTGGTGCATATTTTCTGGTAACCACTCCATTAATTACTTCCTCAATCCACAAGCAATGACATGACAAATGTTGCTGACGAGGATTAGCATAAGTATCTTCTAAGCATAGCACTGGCACTGTGGTCTGTTCATTTTCCTTAGGAAAACTAAGAACTGGAAGTGAATTGAACTATTTTCTAATGAACTTCAAGCAGAAGGCTGAAGATAAACATATAAACCTTCCAAGCTTTGCACTACAAAAGTTTTAAATTCATATTAATCATCTCACGAGGAAAATGTTTGTATGTCAATTAAAGACAAAAGAAAATTGTTCTAAATCAGCGTAAAAACGTAAGGCACAGTGTTGCATCTAGCCCTTACTTTGTGTGGTGTATCTAGTTACACATAATTTATTTTCAATATTAAAAGTTTATTGAGCACACTGAACCCAAGTTTACTCCACAAAATCTGATTAACTGTAAGAAGAAATATTTAATATAAAACATAGCTTATCAAAAAAGTGAGGTCTTATCTCACTGGGAAAATGATACATCAAAATTAGTTTTCGGAACAGAAGAAGATGTTTCAAATAAGCATAAAGGATATATAAATCTTTAAAAAAAATAACATTCTAAAATTATTTCAAGACCTTTTATTACTGGCAGACATAATTTTCAAATGATGCTTTTCAATAAAATGAAGCATGTGTTAAAATTACAGAGGTTGGAAAATTTAAGTTTTCACAACAATCCTGTATCATCATTCTTCAGTACATCTGGAGTGCAGTTGGGTGAATAGAACTTCCCAGTCACATTCCAGGTCTGAATGATAACTTATCTCAGTCAGATAGGTCTGGGTCACTGTAATGAAGTGAATACCTTCACAATATGCAGGTATTCAGCCCTTAAATTTCACAAGGACCATCCAAATTAAGGTTACAGCTTGGTACCCATATTCACTGTTTGATATAACTCTGAACGCATGATTTATGAAACCTGTCTCCTTCCATCATGACACTTCATCATGACACATCACCCATAGCTCCTGTCCATTCTATTCCTAGTTTAATTTTAATTTGTTACCATAAACCAGAACTTCAAGAAAAGCTTTAAATGTCAAGATAGAAAAGCAGTAGAAACTATCAGATGCAAGGCAGTCTTCGTTAATTTTTCCACTTAGATGTTCTTGAAGGAGAACAGCGACAGGAGAGTCAGCAAACGTTGCTGTTTGAAGCTGATGCAGCCAAGAGTGAGTTTTCACAGCCACTGCTGATGTCTGAAGGAAGCAGTCCTTAACGTGTATCTAACACGGCACAGTAGCTCTTGGCACAACAACAAAAAAGTAACAACAAGCCATGACTAGAGCCCTGATCTGTGTAGGGGATGTAACAGCAGAGATGGAAGGTGAAAAGTTGCACTGTGACTGACTCGGGTCCTTTCCCTGGCTTTTCCTGCCACACCCTCCCAACTCCCCTGCTCTGAATTGCTCACTCGCTCGCTAAGGAGAGAAGCAATTTTCCCTCTTTGGCCATTAGGCCAACTGTCTCAATCTTCTTAAAGATGCGCACGTGTTTAGGTAACAGAGATCGAAGTAAGAGCAAAAGCTGAGCAGGTGATGTTCATCGTACTGCTATACAGGTATCTGATGCCACCTGGTACAAAACTCTTCTGCTGCTGCATCTCTTCTCTAGAAACTGTCAACCCTTCAAACAACCAGATAGCAGGAAATTCTGCTTGTCCTTTTCTCCAGGTACTTGATAAACCTGTTGCATAGCACCAATATGGATTTCTGCAAAGTGATCTTCACGTTTTTTTCACAGCTTCTCTAAACATATATGGCAAAGGACCTTCGCAGAAGCATTTTGGAAACCTAAATAGGACTATATCAACTTATTCAAATTCTTGCTAATGCCTTTGAAGAACTTAAATAGGTTCACAAGCAAGGCTCCCCTTTAAGAAAAATCCACGCTGACTTTGCAAGCACATCGCATTTATCCCTGTGACCTCTGATGTTTCTGTAGTCTTAACCAAGTCATCCTTTATTTTATTTAGCGAAAGTCCTTGAACTAAATTTCCACTACAGAAATCTCTCCACTAGCCAATATAAAAGGCTCTATAAACCAGATCAGTGAAAAAAACCCAAACAATACCAGTACATTGAGCCCCATGAAGCAGAATGGCTGTCTGTCTTAAACTCTGTAATCAGTCCTCACCACTGCAGACTTTATCAGCTTTAGCATACCTTACTTCACAGAACTCTGTGTAGTTTCTCAATGTTCATCAACTGGTATCTTTACACTTCACTCTCCAGATTCCCAGAGGATTAGTTTGTTCATATGAAACACCAGACCAAGTAAAAGCAGGACTGCTGACCTAATATTGGCCTGAAAGGCTACTGAGCAAGGTACTGAGCAGCCTAGAATTCTACAGCATCTTACCTTGGGTTAGTGAGATTGTAGCAGGATTTCCAAATCTGGAGCATGTGTTTACAGGTAAGGAGTGCTTCATCTGGACCTCTGCACAGGGATTCCAATTTGACTTTCGTAAACAGCAATCTAGTGAAAAGCAAAAGGAAATTAAAAGAGAAAGGAAAGAGATTCCAATTCAAGCAAAACATTTTTAAAGATAGCTAACACCATTCCAAACTGGAGAAAACATAACTATATAAATACAACATATATATATAGATATATATATATAACATAAAAGAACAGTGTTAATTTCAATAATTGTATCATGAAGTAATTGCAATAGTCAAATATCTAACATCAGATGGCCTTTCCAACTGGAGAGAAACAATAGTTGACAGATTTCTTTAAAAAAAGTTAGACAAGACAATATAGCTTAGTGAATTAGCAGGACCACCAAAAACAGTACTTCATATATTGAGGAGAAAAGAGACGTCTTCGTTAAACAAAATCTTTACTACTTTTATGAGAAAGGTTCAGATGATAGTTATCTAACATGTAAGTCACGGAAAAAAACCCCACTCTTATCAACTTCTATTACAGGAAATGGAAGGGGCTATGTTATACTGAAAAAGATACCACTAGACTAGATAGATCCATGGGAGGTAGTCAGCATTGGTAAGGTCAACAAGAAAGTGTAGTTCCACTCTACGTTATGTTGCCATCAGCAGGCACTAAAATTGATGTTTGACTTGAATTTTGAACACTTTGGACATTTACAAGATAGAACCTGAAGAAAGCACATCATTGACTAAATATGCAGCAAACATGTTTGCTGAAAGCCACTACAAACTAATTCTGATTTCAAAGTTGATGTTTCTAATGGCAGCAAGACAAATAAAGTGCATGGTCTCACAAGATGACGACTGCATATTCCTCTTACATTCCATGTTACCAGTAGAAGGTTCTCCACAGAGATTAACTTAGACACTTTCCTGGATAATTAAAGAATATAAATGCAACATGACAATAAAGGAGCTAATGGATTGGCATGTGCATTTATAGGAGTCACAGCATCTGGGAACGGATAATACAATGGAAAAAACACTAATTTAAATACAATTTTTAGTAAATTGCAAATTAAAGAGCACAAAGCAGGAGGGGAATATGCATATAAAACTGTTAGCCTACTTTCTGTTTTTAAACCCAGGTGTAATTTGGCATTTTATTTCAGTGCAACCTTAATCATCTTAAGTGAAAAATTTGTATGATTGGTCATATGGTTTGCGTGGGAAGACTGAGAAGGGTGTAGAGGGTGGGCATGTGTGAAAGCTCAGAACTTTCTTATCCCAAATATGAACTTCAAGGCTGCTAATAGTAACTGCAAACTGCCAGAGGGTTTTCTCAAGAATAAGAAGTGACATCAAGTGTCTCAGCAAGTTACAGTAGCTTACAAAGCTTTCGTGTTGTACTGAGCATCCTTTGCAGAAACTACCCAGCACGTAAATCTGAAAATGAATCACACTACCTTAATTGTACCATGTGTATGTTGGTGGGACTGAGGAGGAAACAAAAGGCAGGTCACTGAGTTAGTTTAAGAGAATGATCACCTGTGGATAAGCAAGGTAAATAAGGTCATATGGAGTCTCATCTGATGCCTTGTAGGAATGCAGAACAGAGTAATCAGTTATACTAGTTTAGCTTTCTTCCTATCAGTAAATTGGGCTTGAAAATACAGGGAACTATATAGATACTTTAAAGTCATATTTGATTTGGCAGAGTGGTCCTCTCTAGATATTTATTTAACTGTGACTGTATCACTGGAAGAAAAACTGTCCAGGTCTGTCCATCATTTTACTCAAGAGAAGGACAAATGACAAATAGCATCCACTTCCCCTCTCACTACTACATCTATTCTACCCTTAACACATGTATACACACACCCCGCCCAAACAACAAGACCTAGGCATAAAAACTCAAACCCAAAATCACAGGAATCTACCTCATACAATCCCTTCCCTGTTTGTCTGTATGTAAAAAGAGAAGAGTAATATTTACGGTTTGAAGATAAGTTCAATTTTTTAACAGTCGTGATCATAAAGTTATGGAACATAATAAATTCAGCAGCACGGAATTTACAAGTCATTCTAGAAAGAAGATAATCATAATATATACCTTATTATGTACAGTTTAGAGATAGACTGAATTTACATTAAAGGCCTCCAAGCATCTAAGACTTTCAGGAATTCTGTAGCAGAGAAGGCACAGGGTCAGTCAATCACTAAGATTCAGCATGCGAGAGCTAAAAGAAATACTGAGCAGGAGATAGAAAGGGATGGGATTTGATTATTAAGAAATAACTCAAACAGAAGCACAAAAATATCAGGAGTATGTGCAACAAAAATGAAATAACCTGGACTACTAGTGCAGGATTCAAGGGCAAGAAAGCAGAACACACATACATGTAAGAATTAAAGCAATGTATCAGAGTTTGATGCTTTTGGATGCACTGGGCCCACATGCAACATTATCCGTTTCTCATGCAATATGACAATCAAGGGGATTGGATGGTTGCATGTTTCCCAAAATACAAACAATAAACAAAGTATGATAGAAAGATATTCAAAATTCTAATAAAGAAAGGCTAGGCAATTCTATCTAATGGGGGAAAAAGTACACTGGTGTGGGATCATCCACACTAAACCAAAAATAACCTTTTCAATAGGAAAGGTTGCATTTATAAAGCCACACAGAGCAGTTTCCCTGGGTCCAAGAAATACTTTGACTATAAATCACAAAATAACTAAAACACTTCAGAAAACTGAGATGGGATGTTAATAACAAAATGAAAACCTGCCAACTAAACGTTTACTTAACAAATGGGAGAAGAAAGAGGAAAGAGGCAATGGGCAGGAGGCACACTATGTGACAAACAGGTCTCCCAAATTAATTTTTCCAAGTTCCTCTGAAATATGGCTGGAGATACGAGCTGATAACAAGATAAACGAGCAGCTCAAGGACAAGTATTATCAAGAAGGTTTTAGAAACCATGAGGTAGATCATCTGAAAAAGGATTTTCTGAAAGGTTGGCTTCAAGCATCTGTGGAAACAATTCTTCTGGAAAGCAGCCTGCACTACTGACACAGAGAATTTTAAACTTCACAGGGATATTTTCACACCTGTTTTTAATAGACTATTAAAAATGGTGAAGAATGGATAAAAACTACCAAGAGATAAGATAATGAAAATCAAGCTGTACATTTTATGAGCATCATGAATTATCTGGTCATGTCTGTTTGTAAGAGTCAGAGGTTTAAATTACTGACACACAGTGCAGAACAGAACATGACAGAGTAACCAAGGCATGGTGGGATGGCACTCGTGACTAAGAATGCAAGTGCTGAGCAATTGACAATATTCAAAATAGAAATGAAGAGTAGAACAATGTGTGTCAGCGACACGTTGAACTGGAATAAATATAACAGATAACAAAAAGAGAAATCTGTTTCGGTCAAATCCTTTGGGGAAGGAAAGTAGGTAAAACAGGTTCTGTTAAAGACATTAGCCTAATGGGGCACTTGTTCCAGCATCAGAGTTTGATATGGATGCAGATCTTTAGCATTAGATAAAAATAAACTGAATTGTATCATTTTAGGAGACTAATTACCGAGACAAAAATGGAGAACAAATCAAACTCTTAAGTGGAAAGGCTTAGTTATTCTTAGAGCTAATAGCTGATAAATTTATGAAATAGCTACTGAAGCAGCTAATGACTCCATTACTTCAAGACTGTTCTCACTAACTAATGAGGACATTATAAAACAGCTGCTGGTAACCTTATCCATATATTACTGGATTTTTATTTAAACAGAGAATGAAAAATCTCAAATGGGTTCATAACTAGGTCTTTGAATTTCAGTGGCATACAGACAAATAATTTGATAGCAAAGGTTAGCAAAGACATCCGAGATACAGCAGAAGCCTGGCATTTACCACAAAGACGCTAGAACATTTAAGGATCTGCATCTCAAGTTGAAGGGGTAAAACTCGATATTTGACAATCCAATCATTGATAACATTGTGCAAATAAGACATCAGAAACATGCAGGGATCCTGTCAAGAATAGCAAGGGACAGAGAGAGCAGAGAAGAGAAAGAAAAATCAGCACAGGGAGTTGCATCTTAGGTACACAGTCAAAAGTAAAGTTCATCTATACCTGAACATGTTATTATACAAAAAAAGTTACAGTCTTTAAAGGCTTTTTTGTACCTAATTAGGAAAAAAAGAAAATGTGTATACTAAACAGGGCTAATGGGATGAAGACTAAGGACATTCAGGAATGAACCTCCAAATTCCACCATAATCCTTATCTCTGCTGTCTCAGATATGAAAACAATGACAAATGGAGAACAGGAACACTTTAAAAATGATTAAAGTTAATGCAGTCAAAAATAATCTATTTCTCAGAATTATAGAAACAGTGACACATAAGATTGTCCTTTCTACAGTAAAAACTTTAAAGAAAATATCACTTCTGTAATGACTGGGGAACAGCAGCTATATTACCAATGTTTTTTTCAAAAGAGAAGACACAAATACATACAATATTAACATGCAAAAATGTATACAAAAATAGCATACAAAAAATGAAAGGAGTATTAGCTAACCTTGTTAATGGAAAAATGGGTTATAGCTCAAGTTTAAAAAAGAGATTGTACCAAACAACCTGTGTAACAGTTATTCCAAACCAGAGCTGCCTAACAGCCAGGTTCATCAAGTTGAGACAGCTGTGAAGAGGGCAGACGCAATTCTGGAACGTACTTGTTAGAGGAAGAAGAGGAAGAGACAGTATCATTGTACAGTATTCCAAAGAGACCACATCTGGAATGTTATCCAGAATTCTCATTATAACACACACACAAGAGAAATTTCAAAGTGGAGCAGCTGCAGAGAAAGGCTGTGAGACTGATCAGCTGAAGAGTATGAAAAAGACTTCATTTAGTCAGTTTAGCAAAAAAAAGCCAAGAAGAGAGATAAATTCTATCTATAAATAAAGATGAGACAAGTACCATGAAGGGAAAAGAACAGTTTATCTAGAGGATAGTGTATGCACAAAAATGAGTATATATAAAGGTCATACAGACTAT